ACCCAGATATTCTACTCCTAAATATTTACCCAATAGAAATTAAAACGTATGCCCACACAAATATATATTATGCACAAATGTTCATAGTAGTTTACTTTGCAATAATCAAAAGCTGGGACACCCAAAATGTTCATCAGAAAGTGAATTGATAAACAGTAAAGCAGTGTAGTCTACACATATCATAGAATACTAAGCAACAAATAAAGAATGAACTTTTGATTTAGGCAACAACATACATGCTCATAATCATTATGCCAGGTGAAAGAAGTCATGTCCCCTCCAAAAAAAGACATATGCTGCATTATTGCATTTATTTAAATATTAGAAAATGTTTATATTATCAATTGTTTACTTTGCAAGAAAGGACATCAATGATTATTTGAAGATGGGAAGAGACAATGGATTGAAAAGGACCATGAAAAGAATATGGGTCTTATGGAAATATTTGTTATTTTGATTGTGGCAATTATTTTATAGGCATATACTATTTTAAAACTTTTTAAAACTCTATCATTATATTTTATTGGGGAAATATTATACTTTATTATTATTCAGTAAAATTTTAAGCAATTCTGAGAAATACCTCAGACATTACCAAATCCAGAAAAATCATCAGAATACTTTTCTTACCTGCCCATTACGTGTATTATTTGTTTTCACTACATTTTTTTTTGTCGAATACTTTTTGATCTCCTTTTCACAGTTTTATAATATTACTTTTTAGAGAGGTTGTAAAGAAAACTTAATGTTTTCTTTTGATAATTAATCAAAACAGTTTTGATGGATAGTATAGAAGAATTTATTTTAACTTTGCAACTCATTACTGAGAGTCCCACAATTTTAGATTAATTGGAAAATTGTGTGTGTGTGAGAATATCAAGTAAATTTCACTTATTACCTCATGCAGACCTATTTACTATTTTTAACCTACTTCTATGAATATGTGACCTACAAAAGCAGAATTATGACAGATTCTATTTTGCATGATTGCCACCACAAAGAAGAAAAACTGTGATACACTATAATTGCCTCTGATGCAGTACAAATGTACTCCTAACTGAAGAGTCTCAATTTTGACAGGATATTGATGAGGAATGCTGAGTGGATACTCCCTCAGTTTCACACATCCAATGAGAGGAAAAATCCTCTTTAGAAGACAATTTCCTGGGCCTATAAGTTCAAATTTTTTTCTGCTATAATAACCACATGCTTTTGTTGCCAAACCCTGTTCTTCATGTTACACAATGGCTGCTTGTCATGATGCCAGCTGAGAGAACCCAGTGTGTGGCACAAGTATTCCTAGGAAAAGATCTTTGGAAACTTCAGAGTAATATAAAAACTGTATTGTATAAAAAATGACTGCATAGAAAACACAAATATGTCCTGTTAAATCTAAACTAAATGTATCTGTGTCCCATTTATTCAACTGTCCATAATCAAATCACAAAACCACCTTAACTGCTTCAAATTCATTCGTCTGACTTGCAGAGAATGTGAATGGGGGCTTTCTGGGTAAAGAGAATTGGCCACAGAGACTTGTAATGGAGGAGAAGCCAAGTGAAAAAAAAAATAACAATGGTAACCATCTGTGGTTAAAATACTATTGAAAAATTTATATATATTTTCTATTTTACAAATACATGTATAAATATATATATGTATGTGTGCATTTATATCTGTGTCTGTATTATTTATATCTACATGTGTATAAAGGAATTATTTTAAAGCTATCTATTCATACATTGAGAAGCACATATACTCCAGTCCGAATATACTAATTTTAAGACCTTGTGAGATACAAGCTGGATCAGATCAGAGCTACAAAATAGAAAAAAAAACTTGTACTTATCTTTTTTTAATGATGGGTTTTATTACATACATATGTTTGTATTTCAACTACCAATAATTTATTTTTAGTCTTTTAGAATAATTTCTATTATTATTATTATTATTTTAATATACTAGGGATTAAATTCAGGGGTAATTAACAACTGAATCACATCCCCAGTCCTTCTTTAATTTTTTTTTGAGACAGTGTTTTTGCTAAATTGTTGAAAGCCTTGCTAAATTGCTGAAGCCAGCTTTAAGCTTGAGATCTTCCTGCCTGAGCCTTCTAAGTCACTGAGATTACAGGTGTGCACCACTTCATCCAGCTATTATTATTATTATTGTCAAATTATAAATGTATGTTTATGGGGTAGGATGTTATATTTTCATGTATATATACAATGCAGAATGATTAAATCAATCTGGTTAATATATCTATCCCCTCACCTATCATTTTTTATGAGACATTTGAAATTTACTTTTCATTATTACTTTGAAACAATATAAAAATAATAATAATAAAATAATAATAATAATAATAATAATAATATTGAAGATCATTTAGAAATACATCTTATTATTATCTGTAGTCACCCTGCTATAATAGAATTAAAAATCTACTCTTCTTGTCTTTCTGAAACATTGTACCTTTGATCAAAAACTCTTCTATCCCTCCTATCTCACCCTTCCCCAGCACCTGGTAACCATCATTCTACTCCTCAACTGTGAATCTAATTTCCTTAGACTGCACAAATTAAGTGAATTCATGCAATTCTTTGTCCAGTGATCCTACTTTAGGGTATAAATCCAAAGGATCTTAAATCCTGGAAGTATAGTAGCACTTGTTATGATTTGGAAATAAAGTTTTCCTCGAAATATCATGTATTAGAAACATGATATCTAGTGTAGCAATGTTCAGAGATTAAATGCTTAGATGGTAAGAGTTGTTGTGTGATCAGTGGATCAATCCATTTGTTGAGTTAATAATTTGAATGGGTTAATGAGTGGTAACTATAGGCAGGTGGTATGTAGCTGGAAGAAAGAGGTCACTGGGAGCAGACCCTGGGGGATTGTATTTAGTCTCTGACTCACTGCCTGTCTCTCTCTCTCTCTCTCTCTCTCTGTCCCCACCCCTTTGCTTCTTGGCTACTGTGAACTGAGCAGCTTTCTTCTGCTAAATCCTTCTGCTATAATGTTATACTTAGTCTCAGGCCCAGACCAGTGGAGTTGGCTGACTACAGATTGAACCTCTGAAATTGTGAGACAAAATAAACTTTTTTTCCCCTCTAAATTGTTTTTGTCAGGGATTTTGTTCACAGAAATGAAAAGCTGACTAATGTAGCACTCTCATATTCATTGCAACATTATTCACAATATCCAGAATATGGAATTAGCCTCAGTGTCCATCAATAGATGAATGGATAAAAAATACAGTGTGGCATATATACAAGGGAATATTAATCATCTTTAAAAAGAGGAAACCCTGTCACTTGTGACAATATGGATAAATTTGGGCTTGTTTGACATATTTTATACGCTAAAATGCCTTAAAAAACTCAATTTAGGAACCTTAGAATGCCCTTTTTTTGCTTCATTTTCATCGCCCCCCCCCAACTGTTAAGTATAGGCCAACGTAAGCCTAAACTTTAAACAGTTGAATCTTATTTTTAAGCATACAGACTTAAAAAAATAAGGAATTTAAAGAATTCATAGAAAGAAAGCTGAACATAAGCAGATGGGAATGATAGAGGTGCTATTGGTTGGATCTGGAATGTCCCCCAGAAGTTCACATGCTGAGGGTGTGGCCTCCAGTGCAGCAATGTTCAGACGTAGGGATAATGGGAAGTGACTGGCTTATGAGGCCTCTGACCTCATCAGTGGGTTGACCCATTGATGAGTTTATAGCTGGTGGCATTATTGGGGAGTGGTAGAAACATTATGAGATGGGACCTAGGTACAGAAGTAGATCACTGAGGGTGTACTCTGGAAGAGTATAATTTGTCCCCAGATTCATTTTCCTCTAACCCCCTTACTTCCTAGCAAGTGTTAGTTAAGCAGCTTTGGTTTACTTGCCCTTCCAACATAGTGTTCTGCCTATCACAGGCCCAGAAACAATGGAGCCAGCTGACTATGGACTGAAACCTCTAAAATCATGGATCAAAATGAACATTTCCTCCCTTAAGTTGTTTTTTCTCAGGTGCTTTGTCACAGGAATAGAAAACTGACTAAAACAGAAGGGATGCAGTAACAAGGAATAAAGGTAAAATCATGGCACAAACCATGTAGTGTGAACACCACTGTTGTTTAATTCTGGACTCAGCTTGCAAAGCTGCCATATGTTGGTATTTGATACTGGACACGGCTACTGCTGCCTCTGGAAACTTCTGGTTGCTGCAGCTGATACTACTCTTATCTATATTAAAATGCTATTCTCCATAGTGGACTCTTCTGTTTATTTATTACCTCCCAGTTGGAAGTTCAGAGGTAATTAAAAGGTAACCTGTTCTTATCTATGGCATAAAGAAAATGAATTAGTGCACATCAGATATTTTGAACATCTGTGGTTAAAGGCAGCTTTGCCTTTTCCTACAACTCACACAATAACAATTCTCCACATAAGAATGAGGTTCAGACTCTGGACTAACAATAACAACAAAAAAGTGCACCACAAAGAAATATAACCCCAAGGAACACCACATTGGCTCTTGCCAGTATGAACAATGGGGATCTGGATGCTTATCCTTTTCTTTTATTAAACACAAAAGACAAACACAAGAGAGTATATGATTCTTATGCATAATCATAGCTGAAGACTGCTACTACTTTCTGCTCTCTACCTATATCTCCTTCCCACAGAAGTTTTGCTTTTTCTAGAAACAGAGTTACTCTGAGGAATAAGGCTTAACAGGAAGGACTTGATATTTCATAGGTTTAATGAATTCTGTTTTGTGCTGAATTGTGTTATCTACAACCTGTCCCAGAGCTCATTTGTTGAATCCCTAACCCTAGTACCTCAGAATATGACAATATTTGATGCCAGACCCTTTAAGATGCTATTAAATTAAAGGAGACCCTTAGGGTGGACATATTCCAATAAGACTAGTGTCCTTATAAGACACCAGTGAATCGTGCACAAATAGAAAAGACAATGTGATGATGCAATGAGGCAAACAAATACCACACTGAAGTGAATGTCCCTAGTGTGGCTCTGCCTCACTATTTGGTGGGCTATCTATTGGTCTGGAAAGTATCACACTTTTTTTTTTTTCACAGCAACTTACAGCTATATCCAGTGCCACTGGGGCTGGTCTAATGAATAATACAATGTGAAAGGTCAGTATTCAGCCAAGTGGTCAGAGAGGAGAGAAGTACATTTATAGATGGGTGTCATATAAAAGGCATATTTTTAGGAGCTTCTATTCATGGTCAAAAATATAGAAGCTACACGCTTTGATGGACCTAAAATATGGGGGAGTGTGTGTAAAGGGGCAGGCAGCAAATAGGAAAAATAGCTGGTACACTCTTATAACAGGTGACACTATTCCAGTTCACGCCGAGTTCCAGAAGGACCAGATATCTACAATTCATAATATGAGACAATAAGAATGTAAGTTTCCAGAGCTAAATAATAAAGGGGAAGAAACCAACCTAGGAAGTGTCAGAAATAATTGTGCCCGGCTCATGCAGTCATTTAGCACTGGTCGCTGGCATGGTGATTCTCTTTCCAGAGTCTCTGGAAAATTTGATCTATTTCACTGTTAATCCATCGAGTTTCCAAGAGTCATGAAATAAACACAGATTTTAGTAGGAGATCTTATTAAATAACGGGAAACCAAGGAAAAGGGGACATTAACTGGACAATTGGAATCTATAAGAGGAAACTTGCAACTCATTTGGATTCTAAATAGTCACCTATATATTTTAAGCTGACAGTAATCGGGACCTTTATTAAGATGAAAACTAACGAAAATTTAGCTTTGAGGATTCATACCTCTTGAAGTAAAATAATTTTCAGGACCAATGGTGAGAGTAAGGACTCTTTTCCAAGAAAATGCTGGTCTCCGTAATAGTAGTTTTGTTCACTGGTAATTCATTATCATACACTATGTATGTAAAAAAGATGAGAAATATACCATAGCTTATGATGAACTTCTCAAAAATCCTCTACTGAGGAAAATTGGATTCACTAGGCTTTCTTAATTTTGTTATAAGGCATATGACTATTACAATTAATGAAAGCAACAGTAATAATAATAATAATAATAATAATCATCATCATCATAGTGTTCTGTTAAATTTGTAAGGTATTTTAGACATAGCAATAGCACAAAGAACATATGAGAAAAGGAACCATAATTTGCAAAATTATTTGTATTTTACATGTAGTAATACAATAATCAGGACACATACTATACATTCTATAGTGGTCACTAAATGTAGTAATACAGAGTAAATGGGTTAGAAAGTCAATAGCAAAATAAAATGAAACTCTAAAAGTATTTAGTGCAAAAAAGGCAAAAAAAGTGTCAATTGTAAAACAAAAGGATATAAAAGTGAAAAATAAATGGCAAGACTTTAAAAACACATATGAATTATACTAAATATAAGCAGATTAAACACACAGATAAAAGGGAAAATTGTCAGGCTATTTAAAACATCTAAGACTTTACTACATATTCTTGTAGATTCACTTTGCATGTAAAGTTACACATAGGATTGAAGAAATTGAAGTATCCATCCAATGGAAAGATTAATCAAAAGGAAACCAGGTAAGTATAATTCACATCAAAAAATAATCTTCAGGATTAGAAGTATTACCAGAAAAAGGGGTCATTTTATAATGTTAAAGGAGCAATAAGCATCAGTAAGACATAAAAAGAATAAATATGCTTATATACCTAACAGCAATCTTAAAATACATGAGGAAGAACATCTACACAGATGAATCCACAAAGATGAGTACTTTCCTATTTTAATCACATAAGCAATAGATCAGCTGGGCAAAAACTTATCAAGATATAGGAGATATGAATATATCAATAACCCCGATCTAATTAACATCCATACATCATGATATCAAAAACTGCACAATGAATAAACATTCTTTTCAAATGCACATTGCGCAATCACTCTGTGAGCTTTCCCTTACTGCAACAAATATCTAAGATAATCAACTTAGAAAAATTTTATTTTGACTCACACTCTTGGAGGTCCCAGTCCATTAGTGTTTGGTCTTTCTCCTTTGGACCTGTGCAGTGCACCATAGTAGGAGTGGGTGACTGAGCAACATTGCTTACTTCATAATCAGGTAGTGAAAGAGATGGAGGTATCATGATCTCACTAGCCCCATCAAGGGTATGCCACATTGACCCACGGCCTCCCATTGAGCTTCACTTCTTAAAATGTTCTACCACCTCTGTTAGGATCTGGAATGATGTCCCCCCAACCAAAGTTCATATGTGAAAGCAAGTTTCAGAGGTGGTGTCTTCAGGCAACAGTCGGATTGTGAGGGCTCTGACCTCATCAGTGAATTAACCTATTGATGGTTGAGTGGACTTTTTGGGTGGTACGTACTTGGAGAAAGTAGGTCACTGGGGGCATGCTGTGTAGGAGTTTATCTTCCTTATGGCCTCTTTTGTTCACACCCGCCCCCATTTTCTGGTTGTCATGAACTGAGCAGTTTTCCTAAGCTGTTCTTGTCAGGTATTTTAATCACAGTAATGCAACACTGACTAACAACAACCTCTCAATGGCACCACTCTAGGTTTTACCACGTAGACCTTTGGAGGGCACTCAAGATGCAAACAATAGCAAGTACCAACATAGATCACATGCTGACCATGGATCAAGTGTCAGTAAATTCCAAGCTACTCGAGTATTATACAGTGTGTCCTCTGATCATCAAACAAAAGTAAGTTCTAGAGAAGCCCCACAGACACATATAATAACACTTTCTGGAAAATAATATTAAAAAAAAGACATTAGAGAATATTTTGAACTGGACAGTAATCATTACCAAGTGTATAAAAATTTGTGATGCATGTATAGCTGTGCTTATAGAGATATTTGAAGTTTTAAATTCTTTTAAAAAGAAGAAGTTTTAATATCAGTGATCTAAATTTATACCATGAGAGTTGAGTAAAAGACCAGGAAAGTAAATCCAAGTAGGTAGAAAGCAAAAATTATAAAGAGCAGCAATCAATGAAATAAAAAAAAAAACAGATAAATATTAAATAATGATTTTAACTAAATAATGATTTTAAAAGCTAATATATTTCTTTGCAAAGATTAGCATAATTGATAACCCATTTGAAAGATTAAACAACAAAAAAGAATAAACGCAAGTCACTTACTAATATCACATGGAAAGGGGTATCATTCAGAAATTACAAAGCTTAAAACAGGGATTACTATAGATAACTTGATGCATACATATTGAACAATTTACATTAAAAGAGCAAATTCCTTAAGTTATACAACTTACCAAAATTGAAAATTGAATGGGATTTGGGATTGGAAAAAACTGAATAGCCCCACATCCCATAAAGGTGTTAAATCGATTATCAAAAACGTTTTACATTAACAATTACATAATTTCACTGGCAAATTATACCAAAGATTTAAGGAAAAAGTAATGTAAAACATTTGTTGCTTATTTTATGAAAACTGCATGAATCTGATATAAAATTGACATTGCAAAAAAAGAAAACTTTAGTCCAATATCCCTATTCAACACAAATGTAAAAATATCAATAAATTAGTAAATTGAATCTATCAATAATTAAAAATGATAATAAGGATTTAGTCAAAGGTGCTAACTATCCAGAAATTAAAAATTGGGTTTACATTTAAGATACAATTAACATATTATCATATAAAAAGGATAAAGTATAAATAACAGTAGGAGAAAAAACATTTCACTAATTAATTTAGCACTAATTAGTTGTAACAATTCTCAGCAAAATTGGAATAGAAGAGAACATACTTAAATTTGAAAGGCATCTAGAAGACTTTTGGATACAATAATATTTTAAGCTTTAATGTTTATTCTTTAAGATAAAAAATAAAACAAATATGTTTACTCACAAATTCTATAGTATTGTGCTGGGGGCCCTAGACATCAGTGAATTGGTGAGGGAGTTATAATATATTAGGAAAAAGCAAAGAGATTTGTATTTGTAAATACCATAATTATGCCCCTTCAAAAACAACCCATCCGAATATAATAGTTTAGTAAGATACAAGGTCGATATACAAAATTCCATTTTATTTCCATTTAACTACAGGAAATAATTAGAAAATGAAAAATTTTAAAAATCCATCTACAATACAATAAAACCCACAGAATACTAAGCAATAAATTTAACAAAATGTAAGCAAGACCTTTATACTGACATTGACAAAATATCATTAAGAGAAATGTAAAGAAGCCTCAATAAATGAAGTTTGCAATGCTTGAAATGGATGGGTGAAAGACTTACTATAAGGTACAAATTCCCCCTCAGATAGTCTAGAGATTAAATGTAATTTTAGATATGACTATAGTAGGGATTCACAAATAAAGTTTTATAGTTGATTCTTACATTTATATGGAAATATGTAAACAGTTAAAAAATCTTGTCAAAGAAAAATGTGGTAGGAGGTATAATGCCCTACTTTAAGACTTTTCGTAAAGCCACCATAATCATCATGATGGCAGCATGTTGTTGGCATAATTATAAACAAATAGATCAAGGAAACAAAGTGATGCTGGAAAAAAATGATACAGTCACTCACCCTACTTCATCCCATAGAAAAATATGATAGTCTTGAGCTTAAGAGTTAAACTCTAAAAATTCACTGACAAAAATGGAGGAAAATATTGTTATGACCTGAGAGAAGGCAAAGATACTAAGCCAGACTCAGAAAACAGTGAACACAAAAGAAAAATTGAAAATTAGATTTGATTAAAAATTTTAAAAATGTCTGCCTACCAAAGGACATCTTTATGAAATGGGTGGGGAAGACACATGTTAGGAGAATAGATTTACAAAACACAGATGTCCATACATACCCAGAAATATAAAACGGACTACAACTCAACAAAAAGTAAAGTCAGTGAAAAATGGGTAAAAAGCTGGAAAAAAAAACTTCACAAAAAAAAAATCATTTGAATGGACAAATCACATTTAAAAAAGTGCTCACTTGCTTTTAGTTAAATGAAATTCAGTAAAATGAAAATTAAACCCATAAAAAGTCATAGTATTTACCCACAAGAATAGCTGATATTTAAAAAGGGACACCCTAGAAAAACCACTGTTATGAATTTGCTGGAGAGAAATGAAAACATATTTCCATAAAACTCTTAGATAGAATTTTTATTTGTTGTTTTTAGATATGCATGACATTAGGGTGTATTTTGATACAGTATACATACATGGGGTGCAATCAATTGCAATTTTGATCCCATTCTTGTGGAGTTGAACATGATGTAGAGTTACACAGATTAATGAAATTCATATTCATACATGAGGATAGGAAAGTTATGTCTCATTCATTTTACTGTCTTTCCTATTCCCATCCCACCCTCCTTCCCTTCATCCCCCTTTGTCTAATCCAGTGAGTTTATATACTTCCCCTGAGTACCCTCCCTTGTTATGGATTAGAATCCACTTATCAGAAAAACATTCAACCTTTGGTTTTGGGGGACTGGTTTATTTCACTTAGCATGATATTCTCCAGTTCTACCCACTTATCAGCAAATGCCATAATTTCATTCTTCTTTATAGCTGAGTAATAAATATTTTATTCTATTGTGTGTGTGTGTGTGTGTGTGTGTTTGTGTGTATTTCTCACATTTTATTTATCCATTCATCCTTGGAGGGCACCTAGTTTGGTTCCAAAGCTTGGCTATTGTGAATTGAGCTGCTATAAACATTGATGTGTCTATGTCACCATAGTATGCTGATTTTAAGTCCTTTGTGTATAACCCAAGGAGTGGGATAATTGGGTCAAATGGTGGTTCCATTCTAAATTTTCTGAGGAATCTCCATACTACTTTCCAGAGTAGTTGCACCAATTTGTAGTCCCAGCAGCTATATATGAAGGTCCCTTTATCCCTACATCCTCAATAATATTTTTTTTATTGTTGATCATTCAAAACATTACATCTAACTTGATATATTTCACAGTTTGATTCAAAAGGGTTATGAACTCCCATTTTACCCTGTATACAGATTGCTGAATCACATCAGTTACATCAATTACATTTCCATTGATTTACATATTGCCATTCTAGTGTCTGATGAATTCTGCTCTCTATCCTATTCTCTACTATCCCCCCTCCCCTCCCCTCCCCTCCCCTCTTCTCTCTCAACCCCCTCTACTGTAAAACATTTCTTCCACTTGTATTATTCTTCCCTTACCCCTCACTTCCTCTTGTATGTAATAATATTTAATGCTACTTGTATTCTTGATAATTGCCATTCTGACTCTAGTGAGATAGAATCTCAGTTTAGTTTTAATTTGCATTTCTCTAATTGCTAGTAATGTTGGCAGTTTTATTTATAATAGTCACAAACTAGGTTCAATGATTTATTTTGTGTGTCAACTTGACTAGGCTCTGGGTGCCCAGGAATTCAGCTGAACATATTCTGGGTGTGCCTGTTGGGGTATTTTTAGATGTTAGTAGTATTGATAGCTGTAGACCCATTAGATCAGATTGCCCTTCTACATGTGGGAAGACATCATCCCACCCACTGAAGACCAGAATAGAATCAGAGTATTAGTATAGGAGAATTCACTCTCTCCCCAACTGGTTTTGGGTTCAGAGATCAGTCTTCTCCTACCATTGGACTTTGACTTGGACTGGAACTTATCCCAGCTTCCCTTCTGGTATTTGAGTCTGTGGAATCAAGACTGAAATAAGACCATTACAGTCTTAGTCCATTTAGACCCTATAGTGTAGTTTATAAACAACAACAACAACAAAAATATTTCATACAGTTTACAGGCTTGGAAGTCCAATATCCAGACACTGGCAGATTTTTTTCTGGTAGGGCACATTTTGTAGTGCGTGAAAGGTGTTTTCTACCTGTGTCCTTACATAGTTAAAATAGGTAAGTCCTCTTTTATAAGTTCACTAACAAGGTGGAAGGGGAAAGCCTCTTCTGTGCCTCTATTAAGCTCTTCATGGTATAGTCACCTCCCTCTAAAAGTCTCACTTCCCAATGCCATAATCTTGTGGGAATAGAGTTTCAACAAGTGAATTTTGG